CATCCAACGATTATGCACCAGCTTAGCAAATTTTGCCTTATACGGCAAATGTTTCAGTACGTGAACCATACTTGTGAAAAATGACAATGGATATATTCGCTCTAGCTGTCATATATAAATGTACCCAATATCTTCGATCATATCATCTACGTCCGACTTTCATAATGTTTTCGCACATAGTTGCTTGAAGAAACATGACATATATGCCATCATCTCAACAACCGTGGAGTCCAAGTACGGCAGCATACCAATTGAAAAGAGTCGTTGCAATAAGACATGACAATCCTGGCTTTTCAAACCCAACAATGTTCTAGTGTTCAGTTTAACATGTCTTGGTATATTGTTAGCGTACCTATCTAGAAATTTCATACATTGCAATCACTTGAAGAACTCCTTCTTGGTGTCCAGCTTGAAAGTATAATTGGCATTCTTTTTCTTGTATTATCATTTACTAATGTAGGCCATAGGTTAGACCTTATTCCCATCATCATATCGAAGTTCTGATTGGTCATATTACACTCTACTTTCATGCGCATCAACTCTACAATGGCTATTAGGACCAAAGAATCTTCACAACTAAGGTACAATTCTCACTAAGTTTCCTTCAACAATTCATTATACTTCTTAGGGTATGTGGATGGCTTTTCGTCTGTATTGAGTGAAACATTAGGGAAAACATCATTTAATATGTCCATCACTTGGTTGCCATCAACACGGCCATATGAAGAGGGTTTATGTGTCACTATTCAACTGCTGAAAGACGTTGAAGCTATAATGGATAATTCACCATCTAAGTCCAATTGGAGTAAGTATGTACCATCCATTCATATATAAGTGATATTAGACTTCGTCCAGTGTCATTCAAAAATAGTTGTTACCTTCCATGTAAGGACACCTCATATGATTTTGAGCACTAAAATGATTGCTTGCAAAATTGAATAAAGTTGTTGATCCCATCCAGATATTAGTCCACTCTTTGTCCATTGTGCATGTTTTTAAATAAATTAGTTGTCATAATGATTTGATATACGATTCATCACCCCTTATTCCTCCAGTAATGATCATATCCTATTTGAAAGTGCATTTTTGGTGTTGCGGTTTGCAATTCACACAACTATTTTTGATCTTACAAAATTCGGCAGCATCTCCCTAGGGTTCCCCAAGTGCAAAACGTAGATATTATAAACAAATATTTATTATGCACTCGAAGAATATTAAGGGGATACAACCAAATTTTCCACGAATGAAACTTAGCCACATTCATTGCACACCTCAACACATACTAATGCACTCTCAAACTGTCTGAACTAGACAACTCAAGCATCAGTTAGATCGCAGAGCCGCAAACTGCATCTACACATGTACCTAACAGAATCTTAAATGGGTCGAAGGTTTTTTTCAAAATCTTTATCTTCGTATAAAGCACACCATGATTTCCTAGACTAGTGCTGCACATATTAAATTCGCCTAGGCTAGATAAGTTTTCGTGGACGGATTTTTTACGCATCATTATGGGCCTTTTCCCAATGACAAGAAAACTTTGGCCAACAAACTGATAGGTTAGGCAACGTTAACCTAGCCGATGAACTTTAGTTTTGTTGGGCAAACCTTCAAATATTATGCACCATTTTGCACTCTTGGAGCCAAAACGTTGCCTAACGAATTCCACCTTGCCCTACGACTCTCTTCTGTCACGTAAAAGTTTTGAATAAACCCTAAATGTTGACCAACTTTGCCTTACCAACTGAAAAATTTGTCGAGTAAAGTCTCCTTACACTTTACTCGACGAAAGTTGATTCCTCAAGCACAATTCCGTCGGACAAAATTTTGTAGGGCAACCCCGAATTTCTGACTTTACTCAATGGAATTTGATTCCTCGAGTAAAATTTTGTCGGACAAAATTTTGTAGGGCAACCCCAAATTTTTGGTAGTGACACCTCATTGTGAGGGGAAGTCAGCAAAAAGAGCTTTGCATATACAAGACTTTTTTGCCAATGGCAATTATAGCTCCCTCCTACTATAGTGCACATAGTTTTAGAGCAAATAAATACCAAGAATATAATGATATATTTTTTTTTAATTACAAGCGATATTATAACTTACACTATTTTCAAGATAAGAAAATGCATGTACCCAACTAGGTGTATTTTTGTGTTTGTTGGCAATGTTAAATAAAAGTAGGTAGCTAGTTGATGCAAGTCTCCAAAGATGCATGCACATGTAATGTGACATCTTGTCCCGAGATTTATTATATTTTATTATCAATAGTAGTGAAATTATCAAAATGCCCCTGGGATGCCACATAGGCCTTTCACGTGGATCTCAATTTTCCTTTCACTTTTCCATGCACATGTAATGTGACATCTTGGAGTTATAACGAGCAAGATATGTCTGAAACTGTATAAAATTACCTAAGGTAAATTCAGTATTCAAAGACCTTTGTGTAGCATGCACCATTGCATCGGTTTTATCTAGGATGCTGAATTCGGCCTTATACATTGTAAAAACTTACATGAGGTGACTGATTTGAGTAAGGAAAAACAAGTGGATTTTAAACGAAGTTTTATTGGGTTTAATTAAAAAAATCTGATGGTGGATTTCGTACAATGGGCATAAGGAATTGCTTGGCTTTAATGAAGGCAAGTGGGAGATTAAACACGTTCCTATGTAGGAAAAATCATATTTTTATACTAAAAAGTGAATCATGATACTATTTACTTTACTTTTTATTTTATCATTATCGTTAAAACTCAAAATTTTCAAACTATTTTTATTAATTTTTCTAAAACATAAACCAGCCTTAAAAAAGGCTTTCGTGCATGACAATCTTTGGACTTCTGAAGTGGTTTAATGTGCAAGTTGCATTAAACAAATGTTTTAATGGGTTTTAAAATCCACCTCTTTTACACATCTTGTCAGACATCATCAGTTCTCATTTCTTCATTTTTCACTTTTAATACTCTGTCTCTCGCTCTATCTCACCACGTCTCTCTCTCCCCCCCTCTCTCTCTCTCTCTACCAATTCATTCAATCATCAATTCTCATCATCATTTACATCCTCTCCTTTCATCTCCCTCACATCTTAACTCTCTGCCTCTCCGATAACTCCCCCCCTCTGCAACTCATCTTCTCCCTCTCGGACGCACGCACCAACCACCACACCACACCCAAAAATTTCACAAACTAACCCAAAAGCTTCCTAAAAGCCCTCGTCACCATACTTGAAACCACGAAGAACACATAGCAGAAATGAAGAGTCCGTTTTGAACTTTGACGCATACGAACCCGACCCCTTTTTCTCGGTAAGCTCCGACTTTCTTTCCCAAAGCTATCCTTCAAGTTCTAGTGGATTTTCAGGTACGCATGCATGTATTGGTGTGCATGTAGACATTTTTTTTAACCTCGTTATATTTCCGGCGAGTTGTAGGAGTTTTCCAAACTAAACCCAGCTAAACTTTGTTGACTTAGTCGTGTTTGAAAGTGTAGGACGACTTCCCACAACCCCTAGACCATGGATTTGAACTTGCATGCTCATTCTTTGGTTCTTTTCCCACCAATTTTCTCAAGATAATTGGTATGAATAAGACTCCACATTTCTCACAACTGCATCTCATTACCCGTAACCGGATCATGAGTAACTTCAACCCAGCTAGTACACAACGCAACATCTTCAAAAAGTGTTCAATTCGTACCTACATCATTAGTCATTTTGTTGGAAAAAATTTGGATTGAAACTTTGAGAGAAAGATAGGAATGTGGTTGAAAGTAGTTGAGAAAATATGAAATTGTGGTGTAAGGTAGAAATAATGAGAAGGTATTTATAGAAAAGTATAATTATTTTTTTCGGATTTTTATTAATTTTCTACATTTTTTTTAAATTTTTTTATTCACATAATTAGTCTCTGCCATTGGATTAAAAAAAAATTTGAATGGCAACACTCTAGATTGTCCCATGTGGCACAACGGTAACATTTTAGAATTTAAAACTGTTTTTTTTTTAAATTTATAAAGCCGAATAGCGTAGACCGTTGATCTCATATCCAATGGCTGAAATTAAATAAGGTTTTTTAAATTTATTTACCGTTGGCAATCCAATGGTTCATAAAATATAGCTGTTGAAATCCAACGGATGTGGGGAAGCCATGTGGCCTCCCCAACAGTAACATCTCAGAAAAGTGCCACGGACCCCAACTTTGAATTTGTGTCGGACGACGAGCGCCCACATCCGCTTGAAGCGCACGTGCCTAATGCAAAAAATATATAGAACTTGGCTGACGTCGCCCAAATGTCAACCTTGCATCACGTTGCCTTCAAGCGCTCGGGTTGGCAACTCCTGCCGGGCCTCTCCCTTGAACCCGCTCGGGCTTCACCCCAGCACAAGCTGGGCCTCCCCACTCGGGCTGTCTGGCCCTATTTGAGAGCCAGTCCATCGGGCAATAATAGCCCACGGTGGAACTGCTCTAGATCAGATCTAGACTATACCCCTCTAACTCGATCCAAAACCACGCGGTCTCTCTCTCTCTCTCTCATCCCACTTCATTGGCAAAACTACGGCGACCCGGGACAGGAACGCGGGCGACAAGATCCGTACGCCAACATATTGCTTCTGGTCTGGTCTGGTCTGTAATTTAAGGAATTAAATTTGGAACCTGGGGCACGATTTGGGTTTTTGTTTGTCTATAATTTCCGAGTGGGAACTTGGGTTGGTTTTCTCAGGAAAGTTGTGATTTTTTTTGGGGAAAATTGGTAGGAAATACGGGTGTAGTTGGGTGGTGTCAGAAGAAAGAGAGGAAGTGTTGCCGCCGGCGGAGCAGACGGGAGGAGGTGTGTGAGGGAGCTTAACCTTCAATCTTCCCATGTTGATTTTTCCAGGTAATTGAAGGTCGCCAACCTTCGATCTGAAGGACGACAACGAGAAAGGGAGAAAGGGGAAGCGAGGACTGGCTTTGGAGGTTGGGGAGTCATCGGTGGGTGGCTGGGGGTGGTGTTTCGTAGATAGGAATTGGGGAGGCGTCGTATTCATCTTTCACCGTTTCTAACTCCCTTCGCCCCTGTTCTCATACCACAATGGCCGCCATGGAAGGCGTTCTCCAGAACCAACCTCCTCAGCCCCAACAACCGCCGCAACCCATGGCGGTGGAGAGACTAAACGACGCCGTGCAGCAACAGCTGAATCTCGAGGCCGTCAAGACCCGAGCCATCAGCCTCTTCAAAGCCATCTCCCGCATTCTCGAAGACCTCAACGCCTACGCTTACGCCAACACCACGCCCAAATGGCAAGACATCCTGAGCCAGTACTCCATGGTCAACCTCGAGCTCTTCAATATCGTCGACGAAATCAAAAAGGTCTCCAAGGCCTTCGTGGTGCACCCCAAGAACGTCAACGCCGAAAACGCCACGGTGTTGCCGGTGATGCTGTCGTCAAAGCTGTTGCCGGAGATGGAGGTTGAAGACAATGGAAAGAGGGAGCAATTGCTTCATGGGTTGCAGAACCTCCCACTTTCTTCCCAAATTGACAAGCTTAAGGTAATTTAGGGTTTAATTTGGCATCTGGGTTTTTGCTGTTTTGGTGTATGATATTCAAATTTAAAAGTTTCAGTTTGTTCTATGCAGGCGAGGATTGATATGATTGGAGCTGCTTGTGAAAGTGCAGAGAAAGTGTTGGCTGATACACGAAAAGCTTACTGTTTTGGAACCCGTCAAGGCATTCCGATTGTTCCTACTCTGGACAAGGCGCAGGCTGCCAAAATTCAAGAGCAAGAGAATCTTCTCCGAACTGCAGTTAACTTTGGCGAAGGTAACTTTTTGTCAAAAAGTTTTCTGCTTTTCTATGGTGCATTGTCGTCAATGACTTGCTTGATCGAATTTGGTTGACGTTTAATTCGTATGCTCTACTATTCTTGGTCAGCTTTGAGTTCTGTCTTCGTATTTGGATTTGGTTCTTTGTTTCACCTTCTAATACTGTCTCTAAATGTTTATGATTTTAGACGTCCGGCTTCTCCTTAAACTTGTCATTCAAAGTGTATATGCTTGTATGTGATTTTTCTAGATGGGTTTGTATATTTAAACAGGTTTACGGTTACCTGGAGATCAAAGACAGAATGCACCTACACTTCCAATGCATCTGGTAGATGTACTCAGTGTAGGTGATGGAGTGCAAACTTTCCCTGAAGCATCGGGTAATAATCAGCTACGTTTTGTTCAATCATGAATCCTGATTTAACCAAGTTTATATAGTTGGTTATATCCACGACCTTTGACTTTACCTTAAACATTTTCAGGGATGTACTCAAAGAATACCCCTGTATCATCAAGTAACTTGGCTGGTCAGAGCCCTCTAATGCAGGTTAGATGATAGTCCTCTTAAGGGGCAACTTTGTCTGTTTTAATTCTTCTTTCATGCTTGCAAATTTGTGAGGCAATCTGCTGATCAGGTTATGCTAAATGTTATTTCATTTTGTGCATGGACTTCATCTTTGAAAGTATTATTTTCATTTTCATCTCCCTCTCTCTGTGTCTCTTGCTCTCATATTTTGCAGAAAGTACAAGTTCACGGATCTCTTTTTCTTTCCTCACGTTTTCTCACACCATTCATTCTGGCCATATTTTCGGCATTTATCTCCATCTTTTTTTCACATCACTAGGGAGTTGCGAGACTACCACCTCAAAAGTCTCCACTGCTTAGTGCAATACTTTCCACAATGGCCCTTTCCATCTCATTGGGACCCCTTGCTTCGTTTGTCATTGTTAGGTCAAATATATGGTTTTTATGTTCCCTAATGCTCTAGTTATGTTATATTCAATTTGATTTTTTTTATTTTTTTAACCAAGCGAAAATGAGCTTGATGTTTGAGCATTGGTGATCAGGCTGGCTAGTCTACTTTTTTTGGTATCCTCGCCAGCATGGTTCTGTCATCTAATCTTTTATATTCATTGTCCAAGATTGTCTTCAATAATCATAGTTTTACTTTATAACTGGGTTGAGTTAAGCCCACTTCAATTCAAACCCAATTAGTGGTTAAATTAGGTTTGATTTTTAATTGGATCTGCAACTTAACTTTGTTCAACCTTAGCCAAAACAAGGTTATGTTAAATCTCCTTAGGGCATCTCCAATGGAGAGCTAAAGGGCTCAATATAGCCCACTTCTAACAAAAACCCATCTCCAATGGTGGGCTAAACGGAATCTTGAAAAAAGATTCCCGAGCTAATGGGCTGCTGGGCAAGCCAAATATAGCCCAGTTGAAGGCCCAGGGCAATACTGTTGAAGGGGCCCACCACGTGCAAAAGGTATCAGGGATGCTGGGTGGTTGTGATCTGGTGTGGCGCAGTGCACCAGATATCACACACCCACATGAAACAATCCCCAAGATGTGTTAGTCATTGAAATCCACTGGGTCAGAGAGATGATGGCTGGTCTGGTGTGGTTGTGGTTCAATTTGGGTAGGGTGGCAGGCTGAAGAGACAAACAGGTTGGGATGAGGATGAAGAATATGGGAGAAACAAAATGACTTTTTTCTAATTACTAATTAATTAGTTTAAAGTCAGGCTTTTTAGCCAAAATAGTTCCTGAGATTTGCATAACTCCTCACTTTGGTCCCTGAGATTTGAAATCGATAGAATTGGTCCCTGAGTTTGTCCACACTCCACACTCAATCATTTTGATCCTTCCATGAAAAATCTCCATAAAATAAGGATAAAATGACAAAAATACCCTCAATTTTTGTCAAATCATTTTGGCCTATTGTTTATTATATTGAGGGTAATTTTGTTATTTTGATCCTTATTTAACATAATTTTTCACCGAGGGACCAAAATGATTGATGGTGGACAATCTTAGAGACCACTTCTATTGATTTCAAATCTCAGGGACCATTTTGGCTAAAAAGCGTTAAAGTTATTCGTGTATATTTTTTTTTTGGTTGGAAGTTGGAACATGTATAAATAGAAGTTTTATATATTGTTTTTTCAATAAATAGAAGTTTAATTAATTTAAACATACATAGTAGTTGGTGGGTGAGTGATGTACCATAATATTTCTCAATATGCTAACAAGTAATAATATGTTGAGAAGAATAAAATATAGCCCCTGCAACATGGGGGATGGAACTATTCATTTAAAAACTAGATTTTTGGTGTGCTATATTTAGGAATGGGGGGGCTAAATCTGGGACAACCATTGGAGATGGCCTTAGTGTGAACTTGAGCTTGATATATAATGATAAGGTCTCTTCTTCTGTGACAGTTTAAATAATTCAACTATACTATGCTCTGGTCTTCTTACTCTACAATGTCAAAAGCAGGTTTCTGGATCACAAATTATGGGAAGGCCAGCTGCATCTCCTGGTGGTGCAAGTGTTTCAAACTTTGATAACACAACTACATCTCCGCTGCCATATGCCAACTCACCAAGGTCTGGTACAACTATGATGAATACCCCATCTCCTCAACAACAAAGCCAGCAACAGAAGCAACAACAACAGCAGCCACAGCAGCAGAAGTTGATGCAATTACCTCAGCATCAGCAACTCCTGGCTCAGCAACAATTTAGGCACAATGCAATGCAAGGAATGGGACAAGTAAGGTTTTAAGGCAAAATTATTTGTACCATACTGCAGTTTTGGAACCTTTTCTGTATCATCCATGTTATTAATGTCTTGATGTGGTTCTTTTATTTTCTTTTGCTACATAATTTCTTGACAAATTATCCAAAAAAAAAAGAAGATAGTTTCTTGACCTGTCATCTAGAGAATGTAACTTTTGACTATAACATATGTTTTGTAGAATCAGCTGCAGGATTTGCAGGGCCAGGCTCAGCAGAAGTTTCAGTCGGTAACTTTGTTGCTAGCTCCTTTTATCCCTTTTTTCTTTCTTCCAGAGCCTGGTTGCATATCTCTACTCTGTGTATAACGAACCCTGATTATTATTTACTCCTTTCTTTTTATCATCCTTTAGGAGATCTCTTATGTTTTTCTAAGGTTCTAGATGCTCTATTCATTGAACTTTTCACATTCCAGGGGTGGTTATGTACTTTAAGATATTATTAAGACATCTGTGATTCTGTTTACTAACTTTACTTGGGATGTCCTTTTGTTTTATAAAGTGGAAGAATTGTTAATTAGCACCTAGACATCCTGACAAATTACAAGCCTTTTGCATATGTGCCTATAAGCTGGGCATTCATTATCCAATTATTAGAGTTGGATAAGAGTTTGTCACCTCCAAAAGGATGGTTAGAGAAACGTGGGGAGTGAGCAGCTGCTTTCCCCTTGTACTATGTTCGATGGTTTGTAGCCATAAGGAGCTTACCTTCCTATCAGAGATGATGGGAAAAACTATTGTTCTAATTTTAGATCTAGGATTGCGGTGGGCTTGCTATACTCTCTCTCACATGATATTAGCTAAAACATGTCTTTGGATTGACTATGTCACTTGTCTTTTTTTTAATATTTCCATTTAACCAACTGGTAAGCATTTGCATGAACTTATCAACAATGAAAAGAACAATTATTTGTCTGCAACTCCCCTCACGTCCCCCTCTTTTATGGGTTTCTTAACTAATAAATTTTATTTCATTTTTTCTCTAGTTACATGGACAGCATCAAATGCAATTCTCTCAGCCACTGGGGCACCAGCAATTTCAAGGTCGGCAGTTGCCCTCTGGACATGTACAACATGGCATTGGTCAGAACCAACTTAACCCGGGAAGCCAATTGAATCGCCATCTTAGCCAGTTTTCTGGCACTGCTAATAGTGCATTGTTTAATGCTGCTCAAACGACACCAAGTCAAATGGTTGGATTATATACCTGTTCATCGTCATTTTATTTCATTAAATGTTTTTCTTTTATATTTGCCAAATGGAACTGCTTTTTCTAATGCAACATGGTGGGGAAATTTTTACCTAGTGATTAGAGAGAAGAAAAAGAGTGGGAAAGTTCTTGTCAATGGACAATTGCTATTTTATAATTTCATTATTTCTCTTGATGCTAACGCAGCTTTGATTTGATACATTTTTTGGAGGAAATTATGTGTTGATCTGATCTTTGCATGAAAGTATAGGCCAGAATCACATTTGTTTTCTGGCAGGATAGTTTTCTTTGAACAAATTTCCCCCGGTGGTGATTATGTTTAAGTTGAACACAATGCATTTTCATGAAGCTATATGGGAGGGAATGCTTGTAATGTCTTTTGAAAATCCTTTCCAGACTAGCCCGAAGCAGAACATTGAATTTTTTTTCTATGGGCTGAGTTGAAGTTATTTGCTATTTCTCATGCTAGTGAAGCACGACATGCATAGTAAAAATTAAAAGTCATGGCTATTTTTTTTTTTCATGCCATGTATATTATAATTCCCCCTTCACCGGATGATTCTGTACATCAACTTGTATTGCTTGCTTGTTCATTGATATGCTTGTGTTTGAATACAGTGTAATGTTTGCATAACTCTGCCTCTATGTTTTGTTTCCCATGCTTAAAAGTGGTATCTATGTCATTTTATCTTCATTTCTTTTCCTGTTTCAGATACCAAACATGTCGGCTACTATGTCCTCTCCATCACTTCTGCCACGAATGCCGGTACATCTCCAATGTGATTAGCTTTGTTGTTTAACCCTAGGTGAATTATTTTAAAAAAGCTAAGCGAGTTCATAACTAATGCATTGGAGCATCGATTGAGCTCCAAAATATGGCTTTGGTAATGAGGTGTTGTTTACTTGGTGAGCTCCTCTAGTTACGACAAATGCGATGACAATCCTTTTTATTATCTTTTTGCTGCACAGTACGAAATGCCTGGTAGCAATCCTCAGAGGAGTCACGCTTCCCAAATTTTGAGTGATCAAAGTATGACACAAGCCCCCTTTCTTTGTGTTATGTTCTACTTCGAATATCTACTATATGAATTACGATTCCAAATATCCACTTCGAGTTAATTGGCTCAAACGAAGTTGGGGTCTTTGCTTGCAGTGTTTAATATGGGAGCAGCAAATACCGGTGGTATGATGCCTCTACAACAGCAGCAGCAGCAGCAACAGCAACATGGTTCACAAGGTTCGTTCGGAAACATTCAGCCGAATGCTCAGAATCTGCAGTCTAATATGGTAGCACTTCAGAGCACACCACAAAATCATCCCAATTTTGGCCAGCAGAGACAGCAAAACCAGCAATAACAATAATTATTCGTGTTTGTCTGACACGTACTCGATAAATATTTAACTTTTATTATTTAGTTCATTAACGTTAATTGTTAGTTCAACTCTCTTGAAATATGACAATTTTAGCAAAAAAAAAAAAAAAAAATTTATTGTGGTTAAATGTGATGATAATGGAAATTTGGAGATGTATAAAATAAAAGATCAAAGGGCAAATCGACAACAAGTACAAGTTTAGAGAGAAAATTGAAAACTCGACCCAATGCCAATTACAAAAACAAGTGGTCTCTTCTACCAAAAACCAAACAGAAAGATGGTCTCAGCTTTCAATTGAAGTTTGGGCAATAATCCTGGTCCCTCGCAGTTTTCCGTTTACGGTTTCAGGTCGTCGGCCGTTTTTTGTGTGTCCTCATTGTTCACTTGCTTACGAGAACCGCCATGGCTCCTCCTCGATCCTCATATTTCTTTGACTGATGATTACGATGGGTTTATTTTTTACAGTCTAGAGGGAAAGTTGTACAAATTGAAGAGCATGCCCGAGGAGTTGCGGAATGATATTTGCCTCGGATGCTCTCTCGGTTGGTTACAATTTCTCAACGAACAAGAAACAGCCAGATCTCGTGATGTTAGGCCATCTCCAACCGAAAGGAGGGCCAAAGGATCATGTTTAGCCTTATAGTTCAGCAAGAAATTATTTCTTAATGAACAGTGCTAGACTATATTTTTACCATCTCCAACCGAGGGGTCCAAAGGGTCATAGGCCCAAACATAGCCTGTTTGACAAAAAATCCAATTCCAACTAAAGGGGGCTATTTTTTAGCTCACTCAGTAATTTATTATTTTAATTGAAGTAATATGGTTAATTGAATTAGACTACCATATTAAAATAAGGTTTTCAGACATATATTGAATGCCATTTGTCGCTAAATGAATATGTCTCTGGATTTCTTATCTTTATATAATGAAAAGAATGTGAAAAATTGAAGTAAAATGAGGTAAGATAACATGGAATGGTGAAAAGGAGGTGAAAAATGGTTTAGGTATTTATAGGAAAAAAATTGGAATTTTTTTTTTCAAAAATTTCGTCTAAAAAAAAAAAAAAATTCAAATCCAACAGTAACCTGATGTCAGCTAGCATGGGTTTGGGCTTGTGCAAATGGGCTGGCTGGCTCCTTTTGGCCAGCCCACTGGCTTGGTGATGAATTATGGCCTGATGGGGCCCACAAGCCTTTTGTCCTAGCCCTCGGTTGGAGACGATTTTCGTGTTAAAACAGGTTATATTTTGGCCTATGACCCTTTGATTGTGTTGGTTGGAGATGGCCATGTTTGAGATCCAAATTCCACTCCCTCCCCTCGATACTTTTCCACATGTAGAATTGCAAGTTAGATTCAGCCCCATGGAAATAGCAAAATACTACACATGATGGTTGATGAAATTGATCATATGAGATATCTCAGTAGGCATAGCTATACTAAACTAATAGGAATTTGATTCCTTTCTTGTTCATCCCAATATGAGGATGTGAAGAAATGTTGTCTCATTTCGGAAGTCTACCAAACCTTGCATGAGCTAATATGAAATTGGGTTACTTCCAATATATTTGTCAATTAAGATTACGATGGAACCTGTTTGGGCCCAAAATAATATTTTGGGCCGAGCTTAGAGTTGTTCTCGGTCTAGTAACATTCATCTAGAATCTTGTCATGGGCCACCCAGTCAAGGTCGGCCGAATCCTATTACGGAGATGATTGGTTTAGATAAGGGTGATGTAGTTGAACCTAGTGCAACAAGGAGTCTTAAAGATGAGGATGCTTAGAATTAGGGGATGAATATGGTTCGTTAAGGAGCTTGGTTCAAAGTCCTATAGGGGTTAGGATTGGTTGAAAATTGATCAGATTGGGTTGAGGAGTTCTAATCCAAGTGAATCTCTAGTTCGACCATAAAAGGGTTTGATGCTACAAATAAAGAGGGAATAGCATCATTCAAAGCCCTTCAAATCAACACACAAATTGCCTTGCGCAAAGCTTCTCAACAACCTTGAGATTTTTTTCCTCTTCCTTTTTCTTCTCGCCAACATATCTTCAATTTGGATAGACAACACTATGAAGGCAACTGGCGACATCTTCAGTTTGGATAGACAACACTGGAGCTGTAGAATCAGCCGACCGAGGAGCATCTTCAGTTTGGATAGACAGCACTGCTTCGAGGCCGACTAGTTATTTATCCAAGTCTCGGTCAACAAGGATTTCCGAGTCCTTGTTGGTAGAGGTCATCTTATCAGTCTTCTCAGTGAAGTGAGGTGTTACCAAGTTACTAGGCTCGGCACATTGAAAGCCAAGTTTTATGATTGGATATTCGCAAGTACATTTTAGAGTTCGGCATGCTGACGGCCGAACCATATTTACAATCAAAACATTTATCTTTTTGAGTATTTGTGTCTGTACAATTTGGTACCAGTTTGGTGTACTTATACTCTCACGAATATAATTATCGAGACCGAACCTGGCACCGGCGATTTGTGAATTTCGAAGAAACTTGTAGCCTTGTCTTCAAGCTCTAAAGCCTGAAGGCCGAGACATGTTCCTTTCTTGGCCGTAGTCGCAAGATCAATAAGTCAGGAGCACGCCCAATGCCACATCAACATATTTTACTCCCCGACCAAACTCGGGCAACGAGTTGGCACGCCCCACACATAACTAAAAGACGTAGCTAGCTTATTAGTTACTCGGCTGCATGCCAAATAGGCTTGGTAGTTTTTTGGGTCAACATTTTGGAACGCCCAATGGGACACAATGCTAAAATTAGGAAGTTGATGACTATTGAAACATGGTCAGTAAAAAAGAAAACAATCATGGATAAGTCAATGACTAATCTTCCACCTACAGTCCAAAGCCCAGGACACGATGGCTTGTCACAGGCACAAAATCCTCCTGCTGTCGTGACACCTGAAGCCACAAAGTACAACACGCCGAGAAAAGGAAATTAATGTCGGCGGTCAGACTCGTGATGCAGAAATCCCCACCAAAATGACAAAAGGGGTTTTTATTGAAGGACTAGTGGAGGATTATGACGATGACAATGATGAGGCCTCCGATCCACCATCTATATTTTTTCTCCGGCAACGATTTGAAGAACAATCCTTACGATTTGAGCAAGTGTTTAGCCAAGAGGTAAAAAACATACTTGAAGAGATGCATGATAATAGCGCTGTGCACAACAGATTGCTCGAAGTTTTGGTTAATAAAGTCCATAACATTCGACCCGCCGATCGACTCAAGCAGCCTCATATTCTAAAGAATAATCCCCTGCTAGCGATACAGGCCGAGACAGGATCTGCTCAACTCAAAATGATTGACTTTGAAAAAACTTTGAAAAAAATGGTGAATCAAGCAACAGATTGGTTAGAACTGACCGAGGAGTAGAAGCGGCGCCTATTGACATGGTCAAGTCCAGAGAATGATTCATTCGGCCTTAAAAAAGGGGTCGAAGTTTTCAAAATTCATTCACCGATATCCAACATTTGTAGAGAGGTTCGAGTATCATAAGGGATTCAGGATTCCAAACTTTAGCCTTTTTGCTGGAGAATCATCCTTGTCCTTATTAGAACATGTGGCTCGATTGACTGCTAAATGTGCAGACGTTAACAGTGATTTTCATAAACTACAACTATTCAATTTCTCGTTAACCCGCTCAGCGTTCGCATGGTACATTAACCTCCCACCCAACTCCATCCAAACTTGGGAGGAATTAGTCGAGAAATTTCATAAGCAATTCTATCAGCTAGGGATGGAAATGTCAGTCTCTTCTTTAGCCAGGATGGCTCAATCATCCGACGAATCATCAATGGAATATCTTACGAGGTTTAAGTCGACAAGAAACTAGTGCCGAGTACCCCTCCCTGAAGTCGAGTTTGTTAGGCTTGCCATAAATGGCCTAGATGTGGAGTACAAAAAGAAATTCTTGGGGGCAAATTTCCGAGATATGTATGAACTGGCTCAACATGTCGAGCAATATGATTATTTGCTTCGAGAAGAGAAAATCTTGAAATCCCCAACCTGAGGGACGATCTACAAAAACCCAATGGTAAGTTATGCATCGGCCAAAGGCGAAGAGTCCTAATATGCCAGCATAGATGCGGCCGAGATAGTAATTGACAAACCATACGTATACAAAGCGTTGGCTCACATTAATTCCAAAGATGTCAAAACCCCCTCGGCCTCTGTGGAAGCCGCCATTAAAACGTCAAAGGTCTACACTTTCAACATCCCCAAGCTGATGCCATCTTCGACCAATTGTTACTTGCAAAAATCGTCAAGCTTTGGCTAGGGCATAATATTCCCAAGGCCAAAGATTTGAAAGGAAAGAAGTATTGCAAATACCACAACTCAAACAAGCATATGACAAATAATTGTGTCGTATTTCGCGACACCATCCATAGCTAGATCGACAATGGCAAACTCAAGTTTCTCAAAAAACCTCCAATGGTCGTTGACGCCGATCCTTTCCTTTCGGCTATGGTAAGCATGGTAGATACTCATCTACCCAAGGACAAGAGAAAAGGAAAAGCCAAATTTATCCTGACGCAGTACCTCCCTAAATAGAATTCTCGGCCGCGATTGAAAGTTGATCTATCTTCGAACGAGCCACTGAAATATTTTTCAAACCCTTCTTATGCTGAGTCAATGTCAAACTCTAGCACATAGGAAACTAATGTATTGATGGTTTTATGTAGTCGGTGCAAATTAAACGTCATCATAACTGAACCGAAGGAACATCCACTTTGGGTTGAAGCATCGCAATTGGCGCCTGCAGCAACATCTTAAAAAGTGCTCGATGCAGTCCAACGCTAGAAAGTTTTCGATAGGCTCGACCCTTAAACAAATAATAATAAGCCATCTTCGACCAGATGGGGACTTGATTTCAACGCGACATTTTACAATGAAGATTATTATGCGTTCAACTATGGCAGCTTAAGTTCAATTGTAAACTGGCGAACCTTTAAGCCACCTGAGTCACGCGACCAATGTTGGTATAACTACAACTCCCTTATTGATGCATATACCGCATTGTCCAAATCCCATAAATGCTGTCGCCAGAGAATAG